CTAATAACAAAGCTGGTACCAACCCTAGGCATCAAGCAGTATGGGAGACAGGAGACCTAGAGGGAACACCTACAGACAGGCCTGCCTTCAGGAGGAGGGAGCCGAGGAATAAAGAGTTCAAGTGCCCAGTTTAGAGTCTCTTGGAATAGACAAATGGCAGGGGATGAATTATGGGCATACTGTATTCCATTGTTTGCCACAACTTCATCCTTCTCTGTGTTAATCCAGAGTTGATTCACAGGGTGGATATCAGAGGATTTCCTAGAGCTTTGCCTTCTGTTTTGTTTCTATGGGAGGATATTGGTAAATTGTGTCCTCTGTTTCCAAAATCCAGATGTTGAGGTCTGAAACCCAAGTACCTCAAATGTGATTTGTTTGTTTGTTTGGTTTTGGTTTTTTGAGACAGGGTTTCTCCGTGTAGTTTTGGTGCCTGTCCTGGATCTCACGCTGTAGACCAGGCCGGCTGCGAACTCACAGAGATCCACCTGGCTCTGCCTCCCGTGTGCTGGGATTGAAGGTGTGCGCCACCACCGCCCGGCCAGTCACTAAACATCTCTGCCTCAGGGTGCCGGGCTTCAGGCACGCATCTCACTGCAACTGTGCTCCTGTCTCTCCTCTCTACAGTAGTGACCTAACCCAACACGTACAAAGCAAACTGCTTATCATGCTTCAGTGTTCTGAGTCTTTCTGCATAGGAACTTCCACTGTTCCCAAAATTCCTGGCAGACAAAAGCCAAACGCCTTAGCTTAACATGTAGGCCTGACACTAGGCTACCTTTTTCTACATTTTTTGAGGTTCAGGAACTCTAGGGCACCAAATATCTAGTTTTCCATGGTAATTAGAAACAGAAAAATGAGTACTTCAGAGTTGGAGACAGCGAGGAGTTTAGACGAACAGCTGAAGATTCTTCTGCCATCATTGGGATGACCTTAGTTAGGCTAAGGACCGAACTCTGGTCTTTTCTGATGCCTTCCTTAGGCAGCATGTTGTTGGGATTGCAAAGGGGTGCCTTTGTTAATGTCTCTGACCTCATTCCCCACCTAATTTCTTTGATTTTTGGAAACAGGGTCTCCACCTGACCTGGAACTCACAGAGAACCACCCACCTCTGCTTCCAAGTGTTGGGATTAATGTGTAAAAGGTGTGTGCCACCATGCCTGGTTCACTGACCTAATTTCCTTTTTACGTAAAATGAAGACAGTTGATTTATCTACCTTAAGAGCTCAGTGAATTTACCAGATGTGGGAGGTGGGGGGCACATGCCTCTTTCCCAGTACTCCAGAGGCAGAGACATCTGATTTCAAGGGCAGCCTGGTTTACAGAGTGAGTTCCAGGACAGCCAGGGCTACACAGAAACCTTGTGTGTGTGTGTGGGGGGGGGTATGGGGAGGGTGTTCAAGTTCATCCTTAGCTTCATGGAGTTCAAGACCAGCCTGGGCTACATGAGAACATGCTTCCAAAAAAAGTTCATAAACTGTGTTATGAATTATTGCTGGGGGATGGAGGGATGGACCCCTGACGGTATCCCACGCATGCAGGGGAACATGCTGGGCAGATGCATGCCATGCATGCATGGCAGCAGCGGTGGCAGTAATTCACAACCCAGATGCTGCATCCACATGGAGAGCAGTATAATAGAGAGATGAAGAGAAATATAGGAAAGAGAGAAAAGGAGAGAGAGAGAGAGAGAGAGAGAGAGAGAGAGAGAGAGAGAGAGAGAAGTTGAGGGTGTGCACCTCGTGGGAGGAAAAGTGGAAGAGAGCGAGAGGAAGAAGAGGAGTTTTTCCTTAGAATGAGGCTTTTACATCAGGACTTGTCAGCACCAAGGGGTGGGATTTTGAGGGGCGAATCAGAATATTAACATTCCTCCGTTTTAATTAGTATAAAAAGAGGTGAATTCGGGAAGCAAGTGGGGGGACAAGGGCCCTGAATTCTCGAGGCTACTTCAAGCTGACAAGGGGTGAAGTAGGGAGGGGGGAACCGAGAGTCACACATAGCAGAAGATCTCAGGAACGTTTCTTGAGGGAGCTGAGGAGGCAGGTTGCAGCAGTGGTGTTCCAGGGGCTTGGGAGGAAGCGACACTCCAAATCCTGAGTAGAGAAGCCATGGTATCTGCTATTTCTCTGGAGGTCAGGTGGGAAGAGTGAATCTGCAAAGTATGTTTGAATAACATGTAGGGTCAGAAA